TCGTCACAGTGGCAACAAGAGGAATTAAAAACTTTAAAAGAATTAAAAATGGCCTGAATTTATATCAGAAGACTGTTGTCCTTTAACTAACAGAAGACAAATCCCCATACTACCAAAACACACTCCAAAACATCCTTGAGAATTAACAAACAAAATGAAATGGTCTTTAAGCATTATCACAGATTAAACTATTACCCACACTTGCCAGGACATGACATTGCCCCATAAGAAGAACAATGTTTTTAATAGATGTTGCCATATTGAATACTCATATTCTCCAAACTATGTGGAATGAAAAGCCCTCAGAATAAAGAGACTTGGCAGAAGAAATCAAAACAAGCACATATCATTTGTGTTATTCTGTCTGCATCCTGAAGATGCCTTCAGTGAGCCTACAGATAAGCTGACATCTCACCACTTTTGTTCAATTACAAGATAACAATCATTTTATCCACCTACTAGTATTCTGCCAAACACTAAACATCAAAGAACAATAATATGAGAGTTGCCCCAGGATTGTTTCTCTCTAAATTCCAATACCATAAGTGTGAAGCATGAGTACAATAATTATAATACTAATAAGCTCACATTTAAGTTGAAAATTTGCACAGTGTTTTACATCTATTATTTAATTTTATCATCACAACAATCTAGCTGTATAGCTACTAGAAGTTAAGGGATTTACATCAGTTCACTTAGCTAGTAAGCGTTAGGAGTGTGATTCCAACTCAAGTTTCTACTGACTCCAAATCCAGTATTCTTTATTTCTTTAGTGATTCTAGCCCCACCATACTTGACATAATCAGTGGCACTATAATGATGGAATAAGACTGAGTACAGAGTTGGAAAGCCTGAGAGATATGAAGAGGTACAAATACATAATTTAGGATACATAGTAAGGAGGTAAGAAAGAAAATGGTATTGTATGAGTAGAAGCCTATTTCTAAGTCCATTTCCTCTTTCAGTTAGGCTGATGATTTTTGCATCCTTCTAGAATGTTGTGGTCATTCCTACCTCTGCACTTTGGCTCAAGATGCCTCTTGTCCTGGAATGTCCATTTTCTCCTCAGCCTAACCAAATTTTACTCCTCCTGAAAGATCAACTGAAGTTGTAATTCCTTTGAATCTAGCTTACAAGACCTATCTCAGTTCCCAAAGGGCCCTAGTCAGGGACATTGACAATCTTCATCAGTTAAAGTATTTATTGACCCTTAAAGCACAGTTTCTTCATCTTTTTTTGTGATGGATCCCATTGTTACACTCTCCCCACCTCCTTTCCATAGTCTTTAGCCTTCCAAAGGTTTTCACCTATCTGTCAAATCTTCATCAACTCTACCTACACTGTTGCTATTCCCCACCCTATCCTTAGTTACTCACTCCCTTCTTAGATCATGAAATTGAGCTCAAATACTCTAACTTCTTAGTCCATCACTCATCTTCCACTCCACCTTAGCTATACACAAAGAAGAGTCATACCCTTGATTTCACCATTATCCACAAATGTTCTACCTTCATGTTCAAGAACTCCAAAATTCCTCTTTCTGCTCATAATCCACTATCATTTCCCCTCTTCTTATGCCCTACTTATAATTAATCTTTTTTTTTGTCATCACCATAACCTCCAGTCCCTTTACCTCTTAGTACTTTCCCAGGCTGGCACCCCTGTTCAAGCTCCCTCCTCTTTTCTTCCTAATAGCTACCTCTTTTTTAATCAGTTCAATTGTACACTATCCTCTAGTTACAAAATCCTTTGTTCCTTTGTCCTATTAATGATCATGCCTTGCCAAATCTCTACCCTGGATTATTCTCATTTACTCCCATCTGCATGTTCCTGAATGGACCTTGAGGTAATCATGAAACTATGCTGACTGGCTCCACCACCTAATCTCAACTGAGCTCTCACAGAAATAGGCAATCCTTTTACTCCTCCCTAATCTTTCTCATATACCACTTAGCCAAGGCACTCAACCTTTTTTTCCCTCAAGCCTCCAACAGCACCCCTTTCCCTCATGCTCTCAGCTGAGGACCTTGATTTACATTTCGCAGAAAATATTGAGATGAGTTATCTCTTCTCCCCTTCTCCTCATCTCAGATCCTTCTGCCATCATTCCCCATTATCTTCTCTTTCACTCCAGTTTCTAATGAAGAGCTGGCTCATCTCCTTGCCAAAGCCAACCCCTCTATATATAACTTTGATCCCATCCCATGGAATCTTGATCTTGGGGCCAGAATTCCCCTACTATCATCCCCACCCTATCTCTAATCTTCAGTCTTTGCTCATCTACTGTTTCCTTGAGGACTACAAACATGTTCAAGTGCCCTCATCCTTCAAAAAAAAAACCCTCACAAATCCTGCTATGCCTTAAAACATGCATCTTTTATATGTAGTCCTCTTCTTAGTTAAAGTTAATTCCTTGAAAAAGCCATCTACACTTAATTCTTTCATTTCCTCTCTTCTCACTGTCTTCTAAACCCTCTGCAATCTGGCTTCTGACTTGTTGATTCAACTGGAACTACTCTCTCCAAAGTTAGCAAGAATTTCTTTATTGACAAATCTAATGACATTTCTCAGTCCTAATCCTTCTTGAGTTCTCTGTAGCATTTGACACTCTTGCCTACCTTGTATTGGGTACTACCTGGGTACTCTCCTCTATGGGTTTTTGTCTCTGAGTTCTCTCTAGCTGTTAGGTGGTTCAGTGGATGAAGTGTTGTACTTGGATTTGGGATGCCTTAAGTTCAAATCCTGGCTCAGACACTACTAGTTGTGTGACCCTTGCAAATCACTTAACCTATATCAGTCTCCATTTCCTCATTTATAAAATGGGAATAAAAATAGCAGGGCTATTGTAAGGATCAAAGGAAATAACATAAATTGATTTCCAAACCTTAAAGTGCTATAAAAATGCTAACTTATTATTGGTTGTCTTTCTAGCTGTCTGACCCTTCCCACTCAGTCTCCTTTGCTGGTTCTTCATCTATGCCATGCCTACTTATTATGGGTGACCCCAAGGCTCTGCCCTTGGCCTTCTTTTTTCTCTATGTATGTTCTCTCACTTGGAAATTTCACCTGTTCCCATGAATTCAATTATCTTCTTTATATAGATGACCTTCAGGTCTATATATCCAGCCATAGGAACTTTCCTGAATGCCAGTCCTGTACCAACTACCAATGGAACATTTAAAACCAGCTGTCCTTTAGCATCTCAGACTCATCTTGTCCAAGACAGAATTTTGTATGTTTCCCCTCAAAACCACCCTTCTTCTGAACTGTCGAGAGCACTACCATCCTTCCAGTCATCCAGGTTAGCAGCTTTGGTGTCATCCTTAACCCCTCACCCTATACAACCCATCAGTTGCCAAATCTTCTCATTGATTTCTCCATATTTCTGAAACATTATCTTCCCTTTACTCAAAAAGCCAACAACCAAGTTTAAGACCTCATCACCTTTCCCTTGGACAATTGCAGTAGCCTCCTAACTTGTCTCCCCATCTCAAATCCCTTCTCCCTCCAATCCATCCTGCACTAAGTTACCAAAGGGATTTTCCTAAACTGTAGGTGTGATCAGTCACCACCCCACCCCCACTCCTACCCCATTAACTTTTTAAAATTATTTTTTTATTTTAGGCAATTGGATTTACACAGTACCACACAGCTAGTAAGTGTCAAGTGTCTGATCTGAGGCCAGATTTGAACTCAGGTTCTCCTGACTCCAGGCTGGTGCTCTATCCACTGTGCCACCTAGCTGCCTCTCGCATTAACTCTTGGTCCAAATATAAGTGCCTCTGTTTAACATTTGAAGCTCTTCAAAGACCTGCTCCCTTTTTAATCTTTCAGTCTTCTCACATTTTTCCCCCTTTCATTTACACTAAAATCCAGCAATACTGGACTACTTAATGTTCATAATACATGATACCCCAGTTCCTATTTCTGTGTCTGAATTCTGGAATACTCTTCCTCCTCTTCACCACTTCTTAGACTTCCTGGCTTCACTGAAAAATGAGCTACACAGTCACTTTCTGGAGGAGGCCTTTCCAAATCTCCCTAGCTATTAATGCCTTCATTATTTATTCATCCCGAAAGTGACTTCTCACCTACTCTGTACATATCTTATGTGAAGCATTGGCTATATGTGCTCTCTCCCTTTGGGATGTTTATTCTTTTTTTAAAAATTTATTTTATTCTGAACTTAAGAAATTAAACAAGTATTTCCATAACATAGTAGAAGAGGAAAAAAACATGATTGTATATGAAACTGCAAATCTATTATATACAACTTACTTTTCCTTTTAAATATATAATAAAGTTATCGTGTAACTTTCTTTTTTCTTTTTTCCTTCCCTACCCTGCCCCCACCCTAGAGGTGGCAAATATGTATGTATGCACATATGTGTATATATATATACATATAGATATAAATATATGTATGTGTATATGTGTATATATGTACATACAGATATAAATACATGTATGTGGTATATATTTATATATACATAAATATATGTATCTATATATGTGTAAATATAGATATAAATATATATGCGTGTATATTATGTATGAAAAACTGTTCCATACATCCTTCTATTTTTTAATTCTTAGGAATGTTAACTTTTGAGGACAAGGACCAATAAGGCTTTTTCTTTGTATCCTCAGTGCTTAGCCAAGTCCTAGTTCATAGCAGGCCATAATAAATGCTTGTTGATTAAATGATTGGTTGACTAACAATCTCTCAGTGCCTTCAGATAACTAAGACTATGTTGCTGAAGAAATGCCAAACCACACTAGTAGAAAGACTTTCTTTAAAAAGAGCCCTTCATACTGATAAAATCATAGGTCTAGATTATACATGCTATATTGACGTGTATATATACACACATACATACAGAATATATATACATATATGAATTATTATTTATTTTATATAATTTTATGCATTATATACAATGTATGTATAAAATATATTTATTTTATGAGAGTAATAGCTTAGGAAAAATGGATCTTACCTGCAATTCTCCCTCCATTATACTGAGCAGTCGGATGAGGTCTTCTTTGGATAACTCGAGAGATTTCTTGTTCCCCTGTTCTCTTTCTCCAGATGTTTTCAAGTGTCGTTTGACTGTTGCTGAGACCATGACATCACTCTCCTTTTTGTTTGTTTTTTTCTTTTTCTTTGCATCTTCTGGAAGGTTTTTATCTTCAGCAATGGTGATGGTGGAGGGTTGAGGGCAGGAGAAATGCCCGTTTGATGAGCTTTCAGCACCTTGATTTCGGGATCTCATTCCCACCTACAATACAAAACACACATACACACACACACACACACACACACACACACACACAAAGAAACATGTATTTGATTGTTGAATAAAATTATTTTAGTCCAAATACTTAGTATCCTGGAGCAGATTTATTGCTTTACCAGATAGGGTACATCAAATATTTTCTCCTATTTGCTCTAACTATGGCTTTAGGTGAAAGTATCATCCATCTTTAGGGAAATGTTTTCACTTGCAACAAAGAAAAGTTGATTCTGAACTAAGCTAAACAGATATTCAGTATTCCAATTTTGAAACCTGATTTAAAAAAAACATAGTAGATGGAATGAACAGGAAAGATCTTCCTAGGAGATAGTGATATGTATCATGATTTATATGTGAGCATGTGTATATGGGAGTAAGCAGGTGGGAAGTTACAGTGATGTGGAATTATTTTTTTTCCAGAGCTCTGTTTCATCATCTGTTATTTTCCAGTTAATCATTTATAGAAACTAAAACAAGCGAAGACTAGGATTGGGATGAGGAGAGGTCAATTGAAAATAAGCAACTTTGGAGTAGCATAAACATAATCAGAGAAGCCCCAATAATAAAACATTGAAGCATTTACATTTATTTTATACATACCTACATTTGTATCTGGGGAAGCTAGGTGGTACAGTAGATAGAGTGCTGGTCCTGATCTCAGAAAAACTCATCTTCCTGAGTTCAAATATGACCTCAGACACTTACTAGCTGTGTGACCCTGGGCAAGTAACTTAACCCAGTTTGCCTCAGTTTCCTCATCTGAAAATTGAGCTGGAGAAGGAAATGGCAAATCACTCCATTATTTTTGCCAAGAAAACTCCAAATGGAGTCAAGATCTGGACACAACTGAAATGACTGAACAACAATAACAACATTTGTATGTGCAGTCTTTCCTGGGAGAATGTTGGCTACCTGAGTACAAGGCACTGTTTTGCTTCTGACTTTGTATTCCCAGCACCTAGCATAGTATATGGCACATAGGAGACACTTAATAAATGCTTATTGATTGATAGGCACTTAATAAATTATTGTTGATTGATTATTTGATCCTGATCCTTTCAGAAGTATTCTCCACTCCTTTTATGGTAGATCACTTTTTAGGACCACAATCAGTCTTTGCTTAAAAGAACATTACTAGACAGCATCTTTTTTTTCTTTTTTTGGCTAGGCAGTGGGGTTAAGTGACTTGCCCAGGGTCACACGGCTAGTAAGTGTTATGTGTCTGAGCCCAAATTTGAACTCAGGTCCTCCTGAATCCAGTACTGTATCCACTGTGCCACCTAGCTGCCCCTCTAGACAGCATCTTGCAGATGGACACTGGGCCTAAAAATGTTTTTCATGAACTTATGGGAAACTTTGCATTCTAATTCTACTCTCCTGGGTTCTAAACTATGCAGTTTATGTGCAATCCCACTTTTACATCTATTAGCTGTATTCATGCTTTGCTTATGGGTATTGGCCAACTATCTTTTTACCCCTGAAGAGTGAAAGAGCTGGACCACATGGCCTCTGAGGTATCTTTAAGTTCTAGAGCCATGATCTTATGATCATGTGGCTACAAGTCAAAGTATATGACTATAGTATCCAGAGAATTGAAGCTGACCTCCACATACAGTCAGTCGGTCAATAAACATTTATTAAATACCTACTATACGTCGGGCATTGTGTGAAGTCCTGGGGGTACAAAAAAGACAAAAGACAACCCATGATTTCAAGGAGTTCACAGTCTAATAGGTGAAATGTGTAATCTACTATGTGCAAACAAGATATAGATAGGATAACTTGAAGATGATCAAGAGAGGGAAGGCATTAGAATGAAGAGGGATTGGGAAAGACTTCTTATAGAAGGTGAGATTTTAGCTGAAACTTTAAGGAAGCTATGAGGCAGAGTTGAGGAAGGAGAGCATTCCAGCCAAGGAATGGCAGTGAAAATGGGGTATCTTGTTTGAGGAATTGGAAGGAAGTCAGTGTCACTAGGTCACAGAGTATATAGGGTGGGGTGGGGAAGGGAAAGGAGGTATGCTGTGTAAGAAGACTAGAAAAGAAAAGAGGGCAGGTTATGAAGGACTTTGAATGCCAAACAGAGGATTTTTGATTTGATAGGGATCCCAATCACTGGAAATTATAGGGAGCCACTGAACTTTACTGAATGGGTGGGTGGGGTGACATGTTCAGACCTGATATTTATGACAGCTGAGTGGAGAATGGATTGGAGTGGAAAGAGACAATGCAGGGAGACAAAATACCAAACTATTGCAACAGGTAGGAGGACCTGCACTAGGAAGGTGGCAGTGTCAGAGGAGAGAAAGTAGCATATGGGAGAGATGTTTTGAAGGTAAAATCAACAGGCCTTGGCAACAGATTGGATGTGGGAGGTGAGAGAGAGTGAGGAGCAACTGATGACACACCTACATTACAAGCCTAAGAGAGTGGGAGAATGGTGGTATCCTCAACAGTACCAGGGATGTTGGGAAGATGGGAATGTTGAGGGAAAAATAATCAGTTCCATTTGAGTTTAAGATGTCTGTGGGACAACTACTTTGAAAAATCCAAAAGGCAGTTGGAGATACAAGAATGGAGGTCAGTAGAGAAGTTAGGGCTGGATAAAGAGACTTGAGAATCATTTGCATAGAGGTAACAATAGAATTAAAAGTTCAATAGAGAGTTTCATGGTGGATATGAACATATTGCAATATGTTACAAAAGGAGAATTTACACAGGGGCGACAGGATAAAGGTTGTCATCAGGGAAATGTATGATGGCATGCACACTCTGCCCAAGGAAGGACTGCTAATATAACAAGAGGAAAGGATAAGCCATGGACATCCTACATGCTCTTCCAATTTTTCACACAATGTCAAGAGAATTAGCATCGTAAAGTCACAGAATCTGAGAATTGGAAGGTATCTAGTCCAATCTATACATGAAAGGAACCTTCACTATACAATATCCAACAAACAGTCATCTAGGCTAGGCTTAAAGACCTCTTATGAGAGAGAACCATCACCTCTTGAGAACCATTCCTCTTCAGAACAATTCTAATTGTTAGGACATTTGTCCTGAAAGCAAACCTAAATTTAGCTCTATTGCAGCTTTTTCACATTGCTCCTCCATATGGCATCCTTCATCACATAACAGCCCCACAGGTACTTAAAGATAGTTATGATATGCCCTCAGAATTCTAAACTGAATATAGCCACTTCCTTCAACTGAAGAAAGTCTTTAGCATGCTAAGTGGACCCCCTTTGGCAAATATGCAGGAAGATATGGACAGGAGCTGAACAGGGTGGGCAGATATGGATGGATTACAATCTCTGTGTGTGTGTGTGTGTGTGTGTGTGTGTGTGTGTGTGTATACACACACACACAAATATATGTATATATATACAAATAAGATGGATATAAATATGGTATACATACATATATGTGTATATATACATATATTTGTGTGTGTGTATACACACACACACACACACATATATGTGGAGAGAGAGAGGCAGAGACAGAGAGAGAGAGAGAGAGAGTACATATTTGATTGCATGTTGTCTTCTCTATTAGAATCTGAGCTCCTTGAGAATGGGGAACATCTTGTACCTTTCTTTGTATTCTAGCCTTTAGCACAGTGCCTGGCTCGTAGTAGGCACTAAATAAATGACTGACTACATCATCGGAGGGCTCCATTGCTTTCTTCATCGGGCTCTCCTAATTTTCTGGATTTTATCTACAATACCACAGCAACCTACTCACACTGGAAGTTCACTCTACCCCGGGCCTGCTCACATTGGAAGTACAATCTGCCCCTTCAGCCTGTTCCTCAGAATGTCTGGTTCCTCCCATAGCACACATTTTCAGGAAAGCACCCTGGGCCAGCCTTCTTCATTCCTCTCTTGGCTCTACGTCTGAGTCTCCCAACTTTCTCTACCTTGGCAATTTTTCCTCCACCCCTACCCCCACTTCCTGCTTTTGAACTTCCTTTAACGTCCTGTCTTTCTCCACCCTGCCCCGCCCCCACATTAGAATACAAACTTGTGAGAGCTGGAATTGTCTTTTTCTCTGTGTGTTCCCAGGATTTAGCACAGTGTAGCACATAGTAAGCACTTAATAAATGCTTGTTGACTTCACTTGAAGAGAACTTCTGCCTTGATAAAATCACAGATTCATTGGACTATTGAAGTATTGGGGTCCCTGAAACCATAATGTTAAAAATACAGTAGCTTACACCATTGAATCACTTTCAAGTAGAACAATATGCCATAGGTCCTGAGCTTTTTTTTTCTTTTTTAACAACACCCATCCCAGATTAAGTACAAGAGCCATGTTATCTGAAAGTAGATCTGCATTCTGAATGTAATGCCTAGGGGAAAATTTTTCACTTACCAGGTTTATAATAGAAAAAAAATAAATATTATATGATGTTTCCTCTCAGATGGGGGCCATTCAATTCTGATAACAAGTATTGAAATCTACATCCCTGTTCCCTTTCTGAACTGAGTCCTTGGAATTGAATAGCTCTGTTTCTATGACACCCCTAAGGCCCTAACTGTTGTTCACAAAACATCATAGAAAAGCTGGCTCCTAATGCTGACCCTTCCTCCCCCACCTCCATCCTTTATGGTGCATTCAGGAAATAGCTTTCACAATCCTAGACCATCCCATGTACCTTCTCTGGTGAGCAAAGCATTGTTCTCCTAGGTGTTTCCTTGTAATGGAAGCCAGAGCATTTCGTAGCAGATCTACTGTGTTTCATCACAGCATGTTTGTGGGCAAAGAAAGACGTCTGACTCAAGCCTCAGGAAGAAAAAAAAAGTGATAAATAGAAAGATTCAAATTTAACTCATGACCTGTTACATAGCAAAAGGAAGACACATGGGCTTCCCAAACTGCAATATAAGTCACTCCCTAGGACTCCATCTCTCCCACATTGGAATTCCTTTGATCTGAAATAATTTTCTCTGGAAGATCTGGAGTTGTTTTGTGATGATAGATCAGATTTTGACTTGAAGGCCCCACTTTATATCATACATTGATGAAAATCTAGGCAATGGTTTGCACAGCATAGGAAATACGGTCATTTCTGCACTCCATCATATTGATGCCTCATGTAGTCATCTGTTTCACACTTTGGAATAGCTTCTTGTATCATCTACTGCTACTTCTTTCAGGCCCCTGCAGCACCACCCTGAGCACAAATATCCATGTACACACTCACATATATGTGGAGAAGAATACAAATATCTGCTTATATATTAGTTCTGTTTCAAAGTTGTTCTAACAATCTCACTCTTTGTGAAGAATCAATACTTAAGGATTCATGATTCTTTTAGAGTGGCTATTCAGTCTACTAACTCAAACTGAAATTAGCCTATAACTTACCAGAAAAACCTTAGAAAGTGTTGTTTGAGGCTCAGAGGGGTTAACTGACTCACTCAGGGTAGCACAGCTAGTGTCAGAGACAGAATTTGAACCCAGGTCTCCCTGATTCCAAGACCAGCATTCTATCTACCAGTGCTGCCTATTTTCAATCATATCATAGGTAGCTTTAAAAAAAGAAAAATGCTCTACACATTTCAGAATTATCTGATTTTAGTATGCGTCTGGTGAAGAATTCAAGAAAACAATTTCCTTGCATCTAAAATCAGAGAGGCAGTGTGTCATAGCGGATAAATAACTAACCTTGGAGGCAGGAGACACATGCTGGCTGTGCAGGCAAATCACTTAAACTCTCAGTGCTTTTGGCAATTCTCTAAGACTATATATTGTAGAGAAAGGGCCAACCTTCAATGAAAGAAAAAGTTCACTCATCCAGGAGCTGGTATACCAGTAAAATCACAGGTCCAGTCCCTATTCCCCCATCCCCTAAAATCAGTGAACAGAATTAGTAAACATTTTCTCAATGCCCCATAAATATTTCAAATTAATTTCTTTTTCTTTACCACAAGCACATGAATGATAGCTACCTATTTCTTTGAAATCAACCAGAGATTCCTATCTTTATCTCTTCAATAAGTTCAACAGGCTGTACTCGCCCTATCTCTATAATCCATATATGGAGAGATATGGAAATCAACAAACTTAGTGCCCTTTCTTTATAGAATCATTCCCTCCTCCTTTCCCCCCAGGAAATCACACCATTATACTCCTCTTTCTCTAAGTCTGTCTTTAATAGGATCATCATACACACACCTTGGTCTTATACCTCCACTGTTCTTTCCATTCCGCTATACTGCTTCCATGACATCACAGTATCTGGAGAGCATGCTATCAGCCTGACCAACTTTTCTTCACAGTGTTTTCTGCTGACTTAAAATGTTCATAATTTTTCTGTGCAAGATCATAAGTGTAAGTCATGCTTAACATCATTATAAAAACTGTATTCAACCACTCAATGGCCAAAATGACAGTACTATGTCCTTTTCTTTCAGGCTCAGGCCTTTTTGATTTAATGTCTAATATGCTTTATCACCATCAACTCTGCCTTTCCAAACTGAGCCTGCAGATGTGACAATATCTCACTATTAGTTGGTTCCAGTGAGGGCTGTGGAGCGTAAGTATATCTTGGATAAGACCCCACTAAAGGAGCTGAGGCATGAGTCTTCCAAGGAACTATAGGCAAAAGTTGTCAAAAGGTGTTAGAAAACAGAGCTTGGTGCTCCCTCAGGACATGAAGTAGTTTGTAGACTGACATCCTGCTCTCAGGAATACCAAGGTCTAAGAGGACCTGTGCTCCCAGGGATCCAGGGGTTGGGAGATGAGTTCTCCACAAGTGGGGTATCTTCTGAGAGTGAGTCTTCCCCTGCCATTTTGGAATGAGGCTCGAATCTACTAACTAGTGTGAGCTCAAATTCTTTTGGGCCTCTGGCAGCCAGAGATAGTAGGCAGAGTTCATCAAAGGGGACCCACATCCACCTAAGATCCATCTTGTAACCTCAGGACAACAAAGATAATAGAAGGCCTGGGCTTCCGCAGACTCAAAGATTGGGAGGATAGTGTTGGCTCTCAGTGCAGGGCATCTTCTGAATGTGCCTAATCTTTGAATGAAAATATAGAGTTGACACTGAATATAAATTTAGTCTGGGTACACGATCACTTGGACTATCTCAGAAACCCATACAGAATTTCCAGCTATTTCCATCCCCAGTTTCCCTCACCAATATCATATCCAATCATCATCTCATACATAAATCTTTTTTTCTCATTCCACTCCCTCCCTACCCCCACTCCCACCCTCTGCCATCTGTTGTCATCCTTCCCTAAAAGAAATGATCTCATCAGCCCCCATGGGTTCAATTATATCTCCAAGCATATCACCCCAAATCTATATACCCAGCCCATAACTTTCTCTTGAATTCTTTTTTTTTTTTTTTGGCTAGGCAATGAGGTTAAGTGGCTTGCCCAGGGTCACACAGCTAGTAAGTGTCAAGTATCTGAGGCCAGATTTGAACTCAGGTCCTTCTGACTCTAAGGCTGGTACTCTATCTAGTGTGCCACCTAGCTGCCCCTTTCTCTTGAATTCTTGAAATTACTTTTTATTATTTTGTATGTTTCTTATATTGATCTATATGCTTGTTATATTTCTTTTTGTTAAAGGAAATATAACCCTGCCCTTGAGGGCAGGGACTGTTTTATCTTTGTCTTTGCATCCCTAGTGACTCACACTGTGCATGGAATATATATAGTAGGCACATAGTAAAGGCTTGCTGGTTGATTGGTAGTCCTGTTGTACTTTGCTCAGGTCAGACTTACAACAGTCAATCAATAACCTCTAAAGTTCTGAAATTACCAAATCAACTGATGAATTTATATGCCAGTGAACCTTCTTCTAGGACTTTTGAAAATACTTTTTTTTTCTACAGAAAATGGTCATACTCCTTATTAGGAGGACAAAAAACAACTCCTAATTACATTTCATTGAACAGGTCTGCCACCCAACCCCAAGTGAACTGATTAGCTCTGACACTTAGAAGGAGGGGTTCTTGCCTATATAAGTGAGCCCAAGACCCTAGGCTCTTTGGATAGGGTAAAGCCTGGTATGTCCACTGTTTCCCTCCAACACCAAGAATCATTAATGGCTGCCTTGGGGAAGAAGTACATGGGAACTGCATATAATCTCCCATGGCGCCTAGAAAGGAGAGTTCCTTACTACTTTCCTCCATTTTCTGGGTCCTATTTTGAGCACAAGTCAGAGATGTGAAAGTCAATTTTTCTAGTTCAAGACATGACAACATCCAATGAGTGCAGTGGGGGGATAAGCCCAAATTCAAGAATGGAAATTTGGTTTCATGGAGACATAGAGTTTCTGAACAGCATGGTTTTTGGAAAGACAAGAGGATCAAGGGACTAAAGCTACAACACTGGGGACTTTGCCATCATCTGCTAGTACAAGGAATTATTTGGAGAGTGAAGACATGAGACGAAGCAGCCCCAAACTATGGGTTGTCTTTCAGGAAGAGTTCATATCACAGAGTCTCAGGGTGAGGAGGAACCATGTAGGACCCTACGGGAAACAGAGATTCAATGAAATGCTAGGGTGTTACCCCAGTGGCAACCCTACTTTAAGTTCTCTTTCTAAAGGAAACTAAACCATAGAGTGATGCTGAATTGGAAGGATTCTAGGATCCTAGGGGAAAAGCGGGAGCCATCAGAGAGAGTGAAGAATTATATTGGTTATTTATTGGCTACTGCAAGAACTTTACATCTGTTGTTTTTTCTATCTGTTAGATCCTATGAGGTTTTTTTTTTTTTTTTTTTTTTGTATCTGTTGGATCCTATGAGTCCTTCTGAATTTTCTAGGAGTGAAATATAGGCTGTCCTATTCCTGAAGTGTATTTGTTATATTGACTGCCAGCTTGGGAGCTGGGGACACCATTACCATATGCGTGAAAACTAGACACAAACTATCCATAAACTGTATCCAGAGATTTCCCAGAGTAAACTCAGGTTAGGGGCAGTGATGAGCCATAAATACTGTTCTTTTAGTGAAGCCCTGAGACTGAATGTGGTCCAAAAGATCTCAGAGCTTATGGAAGTTCTGGGTAATGAATATATCTATATAGCATTTGACTTTTTATAAGCAATTTCCTGTTAAGTTGGTAAAACAAATACTGCCTGCATTTTGTAGAAACTGAGGCTCAAAGAGGCTAGGTGACTTGCCTATAGTCACATGCCTAGTAAATGGCAGTCAATTTTCAATTCTGGGTCTCCTTACTCCAACTCTGGCTTTATTTATCCTATACCAAGCTAACTTTTTGGCAGCCTTCAAATCATTTCATGTAGGCTATCATTTATTCTCTCTGTATATGAAGCCAACTTGGCATCCAAGCCATGAAATGTTTGAGAAAAGGATTAGACACTGTACAGTAGGGTATGAGCTTCTTAAGAGGATCCAATTCAACCATTAAACACTTTCCCCCAAAATTTTCATGTTTGCTTTATTGTTGGGAAGTTTGTAGGCAAACAGCTACAAGTAGGTCATATATAATAATGATGATAAGAATAATAATTATAGTAATTAGCATTTAGAAAGCACTTTAAGGTCTGTGAAGCACTTGACAAATATTATTTCATTTTATCCTCACAAAACTCCAGAAGATAAACGCTACTATTATCCCCTTTTTACAGATGAGGAAACTGAGGCAGACAGAGACTAAGTGACTTGCCCAAGATCGCACGGCTAGTAAGTGTCTGAGGCTTTATTTGCCTAGTTGGATTCATCCTCCATCTTGTTTTTGAGAGTCTTGATTCAACAAGACATATAAACAGCAGAGAAAAGTAACTTTTCCCTGGCCGAG